TTTTTTGGCTGGTGTGACTTATACTCTAGAGCGACTTATAGTCCAGAAAATACAGTCGGTCTGCACTGTGTCTCCATGGTTAGCGATGAGCATTCCGCCAATACACCTACATGTAGAACACCCCAGCGTGATGTCGCTGCAAAGTATCAATCCCAGGTACCGCAGCGTGTCCTTTGGCAAGACACTTCACATTGCCGGGTGTGACGCTGGTGTGTGAGTGACTTGTGGGGCCGATAACGCAGAATTATAAAAACATTAAGAGACAGCTTGAACGTCACAGTGGTTTCAGCGCTCACCCACAACCCAAGGGTCAGAGGTTCAATTCCAGCTCCGAGCATGTGCAGGTGGGCAAGACACTTCAACCACCTTGCCTAGTGTGAAGGCGGGGAGTGTTTAGCGGTGGTCAGGGGCTCAGATTGACAGCTTCACTTCTACATTAAGGCGAGTCGCTCCCACCGCTGTATCAGGAAAAAGAATGAATAATGACTAGAGTTTAGCATTTGTCAGCCTAATGGAGCTAATCGGGGCCCTCGCTGTGATCCACACGAAGCAGAGCCAGAACAACTGTGTTTTATAATAACAATAATAATGTGCAGTCATATTTCCCAAACACCATGAGACGAAAGTTCAGCTCTCTTACTAAGCTTTGAGTTTACTGAGGTAATAAATCACACAACACACTCTGCAGAAGACAATGTACAGATAATGTAGTGTCTCCATACGCAAATTTCAAACTCGATTTCAACACTAAGGAATTGACTCGATACCTTGTCTGATACTACAGTGATAATAAAAAACACAATCTATTTAGTAGGGCCGGGCACGTTAACGCGTTAATTTTGCGTTAACTAATGAATTAATTATCGCCAACAATTATTTTAACGCCGTTTTTATTTTTATTTATTTTATTTTTTTATTGTAAACGTCTGTTGCTTACTGGCTTTTATTTTGAAAAACTCCACCACGAGCATTTCTTTAAGTTTGTTGTCTTTTCTTTACACTTTTTACACTTTTTTCTGATCACGGGAGACGTAACGTGTCTGAGCCTCCGCGGCCGGGCTCTGGTTCAAGGGTCTTTCTCGTTCTTCTCCGTCCAACCAGTGCGGTTTTCGTCGCTGCCGTCTCGCTTACATCATGCTATCACAGGGCATTCGCGAAAGTCGGGAAGATTTCGTGATATGATCCCGCCCATAACTCAACGAAATATGACTGGCTCAGACAACTGTCAATCTCAAACTTCGTTCCAGCCACCGAAGGCCCTGCAGGTGTTTGTTTAGTTCAGCGCTGCAGGGGGAGTCACTGATTTACCCAGATTCCACTGGAAGAAAAACTGATTGGTCTATTTCCATTCCATAATATTAACCCTTTGTTTCCCAAGAAATATTAGTCCAAGTTTATAACAATGATCTAGAAATTATTACTAGTGTTGTGTTTATTACTCACTGAATAAAAAAATATAGAAAAAATATATTAGTAGTACAAAAATTCATTCAGTATTTTTTCTTGAGCCTTCAGAATACCTTGAATTCATTAATTGGTTTTGCGTATAACGTGCGATTAATCATGATTAATTGCATGCGATTCATGCAATTTATATTTTTTATTTTTGCCCAACCCTATTAAATGCCTATTACCACTGTACATGTATTATTTTTGTGAGTAGGTTTATGCACTAATTCATGGACAAAGGTTTATGTTTTATAGACATTTAACTGTACCTGCATTTAAGACTCGCAGTGGCTCTTAAATATACTCCAGTTCTAGTGAATGCTAAAACTAGTAGCTCTGTGGCATTTTTGTTTAATAAAGGTAGCTCACCGGAGGAAAAAGGTTAGAGACCCCTGTTCTAAAGACGTTCAGGAAAGTTGCATCTCTGTCGTGTGAAATTGACTTATTTAGTTTTTATTCTTGGTCAAATGAGCAGAAGTGAGACTTGCAAGTCGTGACTTGGACTCGAGTCAGACTTGAGTCACTATTTTTAGGACTAAAATGGACTAAGACTTGGGACTCGACTTGGACCTGAAGGTCAATGATTTGGGACTTGAGAAGACGTAATGTTTCTCCTAAAATATGTTTTTATACAATATACAATACTTTTCTCTTTACAGTTGATAAATGCAGTGATTAATTTTACAGGAACAAACTGGAACATGTCCCTCCCACTTCTGTTTGTTACTTTGGATGTAACTGAAATATTGTGAAGTACTGTGAGATGGTATCCTCAAATGCACTACAGTAATATATAGTACAATACAGTACAATACAGTAATCTACAGTACTACACAGTAAAACAAGGAACTACAGAGAACATGATCCTTCCATTTCAGTGCAGACACATGACAAAACTGTTACTAAGCACTTCTTTTTCTGTTCTGACCGTAATGATTCACACTAAGATCTTGTCAAGACATTTAAAAAGAAAAGATCTGCATTTCTACAACTCTTATCTAAATACTCATATATAAATATACCATGACTTTTTAATTTAAAAGTCATGTAAATTGCAAAAATCTGGAACTTTGGTTTAAAGACTTGAAATGACTTGAAGCTCAAAGCAGACGACGTGGACTTGACGTGGACTTGACGTGGACTTGACTTGGACTTGACGTGGACTTCTGGGCCAGTGACTCAAGACTCGACTTGGACTTGCCTTCGTCTTTGTCTTTGACTTGAGACTTGAGGTCAAAGACTTGAAACTTACTTGAGACTCTCAAAACATCGACTTGATCCCACCTCTGCAAATGAGTCTAGTTTCGATACTAGTTTTAGTATCGATTAGTATTTGAGTCTGACCTTAAAATACATTTGACAGATTTTTATGATTTTATGATTTTGACTTAATTTGGTGGGATTACAACTGCTGTAAATATAAATTATAGTTTTATACTAAACTGATCAAGAAGCAGCTTTCTTAAACGTATTGCTGACATCACACTGGAAGAATTCTACCCACAATTTTTACAGAAGACGCAGATACTTTAAAGAAGCAGTATGTAACTTTCTGGTTTGTGGTCCGTCAACTGTTTGTTTCTATGGAGATGTAATTTAACATTAAACAGCTCTATCCTACATTTATTAAATTACAGCTCAGAAATACTTAGAAAACCAGACATTCTGACTGCGAGCAGGGTCGCCTTTCCACAGATCTGGACCTGTAACTTGGTATGGTTTGGTCTCCATGAAGACGGAAAGATTTAAAGCCATACTGTGAAACATTCAAAGCAATAACCACCAGAAACACAATGCACCTTTAAACATGATTTCAACAAAAAGAAGGTGTTTTCTTATATTTGTCAGATAAAAATGTCTGTGTTTATTAGGTTACATGAGTTTTGTTGTTTCCTAGTGTGAAATTTTAAACCTAAAAAACGACCAAATTGGGAAAACGAGTGTGAATGTTGTTGCAAAAAGTCTTAAATATGATCTTAACTGTGTTTTAGTGAAATGAGTAGTCTCAGCTGTCATAGGCACTTTAAATTCTCCAGACTTTTGCAGTGCTTTTGTATATAAGTTCTGTATAAGGCAGAGTATAAGTTACAGCCTTCACACAGACCGGGCTAATCTGGATAAGGGCCGGACCAGAGCCAAATGTTTGCACCTATGATTTAACTGCACTCAGGCTGCCGGGGCATTTCAGATTTATAACTATATACCATTCGACTGTGTATGGAAACTCTTATACAATACAGCAGATCCGTTTAGAGAAGTACAAAGTCATAGCACGCTGGACGGTTAACACGACGACCTGATTTCTATGAGGTGCACTTGTGAGCCTTGTGTTAGTTAAATAGTAAATTACCATATTTTTCGGACTATAAGTTACACTTTTTTCATGGTTTGGGTGTTTCCTGCGATTTATACTCCAGTGCGACTTATATATTAACATTTTCACACTGAAGCCGCGAGAGGTTCTAGTCTTGTGTGTGAGTATCTGCTGCTCCTGTTCCTCCTGTACCACTGTCACTTCACTCTACTGCACATGTCTCCTGCAGAAAGAGCCACTGTCCTTCTGCAAGTAGTAAAATACTCAGCTGAAAAAGATAATTGAGCAGCAGAAAGAAAGTTTGGAGTGAGCGAGAAACTTGTGAGGGAAAGCGGGGATGAAGAACACAGCTTCACGGCAACCAGGCAGGTGCATCATGAAACTTTCCTGGAAGTCACTGGATGGATGGACAAAACCTGGACTTCAGTGACACTAAAACCATCCTGTTTGGATTCAGAAAGGCCGGAATAATTCTAACTGGAACTGATGCTGAGTCTGAAAACAGCTACACAGAAGAGGAAACAGTGCTCCTTTTACCTCCATAGGTCGCGGAGTTTCTCTGAAGTGACACAGAGGACGAAGAATTGAATGGATTTAGTGATTTGGAGTGAGATGGAGAGTTTGGTAAACTTGTTCTGTTCTGTTGTTTATGTTATAGTTTATCTGAAGAACTGTTCATATGTGACGTTAACAGTTTGTTGTTCTCTGTTCTGTTGTTATTACTAGAACTAGATGAAATGTTGGTTCCTGGTCTCTAATTTTATAAAATAAATTTCCCTCAAACAGTGTGACTTCTTCTTCATTTTTTGGCTGGTGCGACTTATACTCCGAAGCGACTTACAGTAAAAAAAAATATGGTAGACACAATTTAAATTTGCACTGTGTAACTTTTCTGGTGGAGCGTCCGTCAAATGCTTTTCTCTTGAAACTTTATTGCTTTGCCTGAAATGTTTCACAGTAGAGCACTAAACCTTTATACCTTCATGGAGAACAAACCAGATCAAGTTAAAGGTCAGATCTGTGGAGTAAGAATGTCTATTTTTGAGCTCTAAAACCACCTGTAATTGAATAAAGGTAAAGTAGAGCTGTTTAATGTCACACTGTGGAACATTCCAAGTAGAGCAGACAAACCTTTAATTTTTATATTCAAATAAAATGTGTCTCTTTCTGTATTGTGTCATCAGATTTGATTGACTGTCAGTTTGTTTTCAGACATATTTAAAGGCAGAGCGTGTACCGTATGTGAGGACGTAGAGTGGTTTTCCATTGGGGTCCATGGTGCTGAGGCAGGGGGCTTTGGGGGAGATGGTGCCCCACCTCTGCAGGGCCGCCTCCAGAGAGGGGGGCCAGTTGGTCACCACCCCCAGCTGCTCGCCCTGGGACGGAGACATCTGGGCCCCCTCGGCTCTGGGCTGGTTCGGGTCGGGCTGTTGGACTGAAGAATGGAAAAAAAAAAATACATGGTGTGAATTTATTTGGCATTAAGCTGAAGAGACTATTCCATATTTTGCCTTTTGCCACTATCAGACCTCAGCAGCACTTCAATGCAGTGCTGAGGTTCCCTGAGTCTAAGCTCCAGTGTTTATTCATTCAGTAAACATCACCACTTTGACTTCATCTAATGCCAGATTCAAAAGTGTCACTCTGAATTCTGTTCTACACATTATCAATTTGGAACGGCTCTCATATACAGTGACCAGAAAACCACGGACCATCATGGCAAATATTTGAATCTGATTGTTTGAAGTGACACCACAGCAAGACGAAAAATGTACTTTTATTAAATCCAGTTGAAAGAAAAGCACAGACATCTTCCCTGCACTTTCCTTCTGCATGTTTTTCTCAAAAAAGTCAGTATTTCCTTGACAACACCGTCTTGTTGCCAATAGTTCTGCTGCCAATGTTTAATTTCCACACACTTTATTCTGCACTATGACCTGTAGAGCACAGAGACACCTGACTGTCGCTCTCAGTTCAGTGAGAACAGTTTTACCTTCCAGGAGCTCCTCAAAGTCATCGACAAAGAACTCTCTGAGCGGGGGTCGTTTGGGTCTCTTCAGGGTGTTCACCAGCTGCTGGATTTTAGCTGAAACTCTGCTGCTGACAGGGACCCCTGAAACAAACCAACAAGCGAAGAGGAGTCAAAGCACATTCAAAAGTATTATTTAAACATGATTAAAGATCAGGTATTTTGCATCTATGCTTCATTAATTGCTAACACATCACATACTTAGGTCACCATGTTACCTTTCAACATTCACAGAACAACAACTTTTTAACAAGTTTCACTTTTGTTTTTGTTGCTCCACTTGTGTACAGTTTGTAACTTCCTTTGGTGTAATAGGTGGGTTTCACGTGACGTCACAGGGCTACGTTTGTCAGCACGCAAAATCAGATGGAGGACAGGTTCTCCAGAGCCGTGTTTGTCGTGTTTGTCTTCACTTCCTGCCCTCCACCTGAAATTCGCGCATCATCGTGATCACGTGACTGAAACCCTCCTATTCTGTAAAACTGTCACACAGGAACATGGGTGATTGGTTGTGGGCTGAGAATTGGACAAAATCTAACAGCTAATTGCAAGGAGGGTTCAAATAGTACCAGGGAGAGATCACAAAGGCTGCGTTCAGACTGCAGCCTGAAGTGACGCAAATCCGATTTTTTGGCCCCTATGTTCCTGTATCTGATCTTTTAATGACAGTCTGAAGGACACAGATCCGATTTTTTCAAATGTGACCCAGGACACTTGGATATGTGCTCCTGAAACTGATACATATCTGATCTTTTGACATGTGACTTCAGTCTGAACGGTCAAAGTGCATTCATTCGACCTACACGTTATCAACAAGCCACAAACGTCACTATTCTGCACTGAAGTAGGTGAAAATTGTTAATGAACTCCGTGTCACTGAAGTGAAGCACATCACCACTCACCACTCTTGGCTCCGTCTCCACATCCACATGTTCCTTTCAACGGACGTCGCTGCCGCTGTCCCACAAAACACCACGACCAAAAACCTCGTCCTTCTCCTTCTCAATCTCCTCCTTAAAACAAGTAAGTTGTTCATGTTCTGGCTCCGGTACGAGAGGAACTTTAAAATCTCCAGGTGCTCAATGCTGCGTCCATGTTTGGACAACTTCCATAAACACAGAGCACGCTCGCTGTGGTTGACGTCATCATGTCTCCAGTGCACATGCGGGACACTTTTGGGCCGTTTAACGTTCACACTGGAGTCACATACAAGTCACATTTAATTGGAAATGTGAACGACCTCGCAAAAACATCGGATTTCACAAAAAAACGGAATTGAGCGTTAAGCCCTGCAGTCTGAACGAAGCCAAAATGACTCGAACAAGCCTGGAAAACCTCTTCAAGCATGTTTTTGATGAGGGAACGACTTTATAACATGGTAGAAAGCTCCAAAAATCCATTTGGCATAACACTCCCTCTTTAAAGTCAACTACTGATTCATAGTTGTAATCACTCCATCCACTGACTGTCTGTATCAGCAGCACAAAACACAGACATCAAAGTGATAAATGGAAGTTCATGAGACGGACCCCGACACAAAACTGAATGAGCAAATCAAACTTCTAGGAAACAAAAATGTAAATCTATAGGATCATTTTGCTCATAAAAACACAGACAAAGCGTTGAGGGATTTGTTACTTAGCAGCACCAATAAAATCTACACGTCTCGTAGTTTTTCCTACAGCCCCTGCTCTGCTCACCGTCTCCCGTCTCCATGAGCTCGGCGTTCCCATACTTGGGCGTGTGTTTGTGGGCGGCGTTCCCAGGACAGGGCGCCCGGTCAGCCTGGGTCCCATCTGAGGACGAGGAGGAGTTGTTGGTGTACCCTGTGACGTCTGGAGGAGCCGAGTGGTTCTCTGGACAAGTGGGGAGAGGAACAAATATTAATATCCAAAGTTTCAATCAAAAGCAGTGGCAAAAATTCAGTCTTAAAGGTCCTACATTACGCAAAATAAACTCCTTTGAGCTTTAAACCATGTTCGAATGTCGTTTCCTCCTCAAAAACAGACCTGGAGTTGTGTTTTGTTTCATTCACACACATTTGAGTAACTCTTTATTATTAGTCTGTGTACATTTCTAAAGCTCCAAATGCTCTGTTCCACCTTGTGATGTCATGAAGCAGTAGTTAACAGCTCCTTTTAGCTTTAGTTCAGTAGAGATTGTCCAGGACTGAAATCTTGTGGAGTTTAAAAACACAGTGGAGCAGGTCCTGTATTACCACATGACATCACAAGGTGGAACAAAGTGTTTTAAGTTTTATAGTAGAACTCATCTTAAATGTGCAGGGTTTCTGTGTTAAACATGTGAATGAAACAAAACAGAACTCCAGGTCTGTTTGTGACGACGAAACAACGTTATGACATGGGTCAGAAAATAGTTTAACGTGGGCCCTTTAACGTGCCGATGGCAGGTTATGATTCTCTATTATTTTCTGAATTTTGTGGAATAATAACTGTTGTAAATAGAAATTCTAGTTCTACACCAATTTTGCAAAGGAATGTTTAAAAATATGTTGAAAATTACAAGTGATCCAGTGATTACAGTGACCAAAGCAAAAGGTGGTCATTAAAAACAATCCAGTTTCGCGTTATTTTGATGCGTTTTGGTTTTACCGGTAGTTTTTTTTTTTTTTTTTTGAGTCCAAACTAGGGAAGGGCATGATTAGTGAACTAATCAACAAGTGATCATTAAGAATTTTGTCAATTACATTCACTTTTAATCAACAAACCGAATGTAGGTTGTTGTGCGTAGTGTAAGGAGACGAGGCACTGGAGACACTGGAGTTGCAGCCTCACAGTCTCACGTTTGGGCTCTGGCTCCTTGGAGATCACTGTCCCACTCAGTGAGCGCGTTTACATGCACATTAGTATCCTGGTTTCATCATGGTGCATTGGTGCATGTATACACAGTATCCCGGTTAATGCAACATAAAGAGCTGCACTAACCCTGCACATGTACGATCTCTGAAAATATGAACCATTTCCAGCGCGACACACACAGAACACACTCACCACCACCATCATCATCATCATCATCAACACCCTTCTGTCACAGAGAGAACACTCATATTCCACTGAGTTATGTCCTTTAGTCTGATAAAAGCTGAATCGCATCAGCGCACAAGGAAAGAGATGTTTTTATCAGCGCTTATAGTTTATGCAAATGAGTCATGTGGTTTTAAGTTTGGTTTCTGTAAAACATAAACAAATGCAGTGTTGTGCAAGTTCACACTTTTCATGAACTAGTTCAAAGTTCAGTTCACACTTGTTCAAAGTGAATAGTTCACGTTCATAGTTCACAATTTTAATTTCGAACTAGTTCAAAGTTCAGTTCATTTTATATTTAGATGAGATCTGTAAATGAAAGGCTGCTTTTATTTTTTCAAACTGACTTCTAGTTTACAACAACTTTACAAGATACACTGTTGGACAAGTGACTTTAAAACTGTAATGTGTTATTTATGACTTGTTACTGTCATTTCAAAGTAATTTGTTACACTACAATATTACTGTATTTAAAATGTAAAACATTACATGACTATTGCAGCACTTTTAATTTACTCTCACCAAAAGAACTGTTAAGATGCTGAACTTTTGCGCCGTATATGGACTGAACCAGGACTGAACCAGGACTAAACCAGGACTAAACCAGGTCTAAACCAGGTCTAAACCAGGACTAAACCAGAACTGAACCAGGTCCAAACCAGGAATAAACCAGGTCTAAACCAGGACTAAACCAGGTCTATACCAGAACTGAACCAGGACTAAACCAGGTCTAAACCAGGACTAAACCAGGACTAAACCAGAACTGAACCAGGACTGAACCAGTTCTAAACCAGGAATAAACCAAGACTAAACCAGGACTGAACCAGAATTGAACCAGGTCTAAACCAGGATTGAACCAGGACTAAACCAGAAAGGAACCAGGACTAAACCAGGTCTAAACCAGGTCTAAACCAGAACTGAACCAGGACTAAACCAGGACTAAACCAAGACTAAACCAGGACCAAACCAGGACTAATCCTGGACTAGAACTTGGAATCTAGGACCGCCCCTGAGAGAACCCCTAGTGCGATGGGGCGTCAGCTGCGTTTAGCTCGGTGGAGCGCGGACTTCTGCGTCGGTCCTTTCGCTCAGGATCACGGTCTACGCGGGCGCACCTCCGGCGTTTCACCGCTGCTGATATCGCGGTTATTTTAGCAAATTTGTATGAAGAAAAACGAAAAACCCACCATTTCCAGGTTAAAAAGCATTGTGACGCGCGTTACTGACTTATGTACCAAGTAAAATAATACGCGCGCGGAGCAGCACGTCCTGTGTGTGTAGATTTCAGAAAATAGGATCTATCCTATTTTTGATGCTCTACACGAGCGTAGGTGCGTATCCCCGTCAAAAATACACAGAGAGCATGTATCTATTGTTGTATTTGTGCATTTACCATCAGCACATTGTGCTCCCTGGGCAGTTGTGTATCATGTGAAAGAGCCCAGATCCACATACACTGTTAATTAGTGCTTTGAAATTTACTTTTGAAATCCTTGCGTTTGCCGTGGTCAGCCTGTACAGAAGGTAAATACAAGCAGCTAAACGCGCCCAGTCAAGTTTGATTGACTTCCCATTGAGAGACACAAGAGCCCGTACGTTCCGCTAAAGCTGCCGGTGGAGTCGCCTTCACGTGAAGTGCGAGCAGATCGTCACTCGTCAGGTGAAAACAAATTCCGACGTTTAACTGAACCCCAACAGTGACGTACGTCGTTCATCACACATAATTTGAACAAATTCACGTTCAAGTTCTTGATTTACAAAAGTGTTGCGTTCAGTTCAAAGTTCACTGAAAAATGAACGTGTTCAATGAACGCGTTCTTTTGAACTCGTTCATGCACAACACTGAACAAATGTATCAAAGCTGCATTAAACACATTATAATGTCAAACGGGCTGATGTGGCTCTAGAGTGTTTATGGTTTATATGTCATAAACTTGAGTTTATTTAGGAACGTAATAATAATTACGTTCATTTTAATCGACAAACCGAATGTAGGTTGTTGTGCGTAGTGTGACCAAACAGGTCTGTACATGTGTCTCTGCACTCAGAAGGAGCGAGACACAAACAGTCGGTCAGTCTGCAACGTACTGAAGCACAAATGTGTATTTAACGATGACTTGTACAAGAAATTCCATGCTTTTCTGTTCCTGTCGGGACAGTGCACAGTGTACAAAGCAGCACATATGTTTCGGTGTGCAGTGGGAAAAAGTTTTGCCAGGTGAGAGTCGCTCAATGTCGATGACGAATCCCCACCTCCCTCCCCCCGTACGGTGTCCTGGTTTTGACAAACGCAAATCTGGTCACACTAACCTGTATTCCACCGAGTCATGTCTTTTAATCCAACAGAAGTTGAACCGCATCAGCGACACAAGAGCTGTTTTTTTTTCCTTCACTTAGTTTATGCAAATTAGCGATGCGGTTTTAAGTTCAGTTTCTGTGAGAGTTGTGCAAACAAAACTGAATTAAACACATTATAATGTCAAACGGGCTGATGTGGCTCTAGAGTGGTTACGGTTTATATGTCGTAAAGTTGAATTTATTTATGCAGATTAGTAGTGCAGATAGTAATAATAATGATGATAATTTTAATATAAAAACGTTCATGATTAATCAATAATCGATCGTTAATTCTTCCGACGATCGATTAAGAAAATTTCACTGAATGCCCATCCCTGGTCCAAACCTGTGACTGATCAAAAATAATAAGAAGGGATTTCATGAGGAACATAGTGTTCAGTTATTTTATCCCCATGACTCTTTATTACTAAACAACACCAGGGTTTATACGAGTACAGAGCAGCAGTGAACAGTGAAAAATACATAAAAATAATCTAACTTCTTTTTCTCCTCTGTCAACAACTTCATATCTCTTCGTCTAAAAGTTGCCGACAGTGTAACTTTACGAAGCAAACTGAACAACAGCAGGGTTGAGATGATTTGACCTGCCTCTGAGAAAAGCTTTTTTGAAATCACTGTGAAATAACGCCAGCAGGAGGCCAGCACATAAAGTGAAGTGGAGTAATATATCGTAGTGTGACCATGACTGAACCTTAAACTGCATTAGAACTGCGGCGCTTTGTCAAGTCTCTGCTCACTGCGTATCCCTCCACCACCTCACTGCCTTAGGAGTCATTTGGAGACATAATATAGTTCTCCTGACAGATGATGTCGGTTATGCCTTTTAGAGATCAGAATATGCTCAGGTAAAGTGAATGTCAAAGGATTAAGCTGTAGGCTATTTTATCTGGCATTAAAAGTGAGACATGGACAGATTTTTCTACTGTAATACTCATACTTCGCAGCGGATGTCATTAATATTCCCTGGGAGCGTGATGCTAACTGAAGGCATGCTGTGTCTGAGGCTTTGTTAGACTTTAATCTGAGTTTTATTTTAACTCAGTGCGACCAGAAAGAGCTGAACTGCAACAGGTGAGCTCATGTGTGCTGTTTAACAAGTGTCTCTCAAATAACATTACAGTTACACTTTATTAGTCAGCAGTTTTTCTGTTAGTCACTCTCAGCTTTTTGTTGAAAATCAAACTCGTAAACAGGATCATGAACGCTCCACAAGCTTCTGAAAATGTGCTGATTAAATCCATTTTGTAGTTTTTCTTGAGTTTTCAAACGATTTTAAATGTTTTTTGGCAGTGTTTGCTAATGTGTGCATTGTGTCTCCATTGTAACGGCTGAATATTCCACCATTAGAGATACATGTAGAACACCCCCAGTCTGACGTCACAAAACATAGCATCAGTCCAAGCGTTCATGGTCCTGTTGAGGAGTTAGATTTAGAGTTAGAAGGTGAGAGTGAATAACCGAAAAACTGTTGGCTGATGCTCCAATCATGTGAGAGACTTGTTCAAAAGCAAAATCATTTCACCTGTTGTAGTTCCAACTAAGTCAATTCTGTATGGTCAGATTATGTCAAAATAAGTTTAAGTGTAATTAAAGTAACAGACAGACTAGTGCTTTGACACGTTGTTTCTGTGTCCGCAAGGCTTTCTTATCCACACAGCTTTGAGCATATTTGTTTATATTTTATAGAAACGAAATTTAAAATCACATGGTTAATTAAACTAAACTATAAGCACTGATAAAAAAAACCTCTTTCCTTGTGCGCTGATGCAGTTCAGCTTCTGTCAGACTAAAGGACACGACTCAGTGGAATGTGAGTGTTCTTTCTGTGACAGAGGGGTGTTCTGCTGATGGTGAGTCTGTTCTGCACTTCTATCGTGTTGGAGATGATTCATGTTAAACTTTTCAGACATTATACGTCTGCAGGTCATAAGGATAAACTGAATATATGAATGGACATATATTCCAGCCTCTTAGTGTTTTGCTGGTGAATTACTTCGTGGGCGCACAGACCTACATCAGAGTATCAGTGTTTTCAGGCGTCCACACAGCGCTGGATCAGATCTGTACTCAAATGAATTTGTGGGAGCTGGAGGCACCAGATCATTCTGTCTCTGGAGCCGTTTTCAATTGGATTAGTGTGAACAAACACTGCATCCACACGAAAACGACTCAAGTATGTACTAGTGTGGACGGGGCCTAAGTATCAACATCTGCCTCTTGCCTCCATCATCACATTCTAGAACCTGAAAACCCCCATGCCCCCCTCCCAGCCTCTTCACCTGTGCGGTGCAGCCTGTGGCGGTGCAGGTGAGCGTGCTGCTGGAGGACGTCTGCCAGCCGCCCCACCGCCGCCCCGCTGCCAGAGCTGCCCCGGGACGAGGAGGACGAGGAGGCGGTGGAGCCCGTGGTGGTGCTGGAGGAGGCCGGGTGCAGACCTCGGCTCGCCCAGTGCTCTGTGCCCAGGCTGTCCTCCAGGCTGGACGTCCCATCTCCCCCTCCTCCTCCCCCGCCCACGCGGTCCTCCTCTGGGCACTCCTCCTCTCCGTCTGCCTCCCCCTCCGAGCCGGACGATGTGTCTGTGGAGAAGAGAGCACAGGAACAAACTTACTTTAAAGGTCTTAAAGAAGAAGAAAAATACTTTTAACCATGTTATACTGTTGTCCTCTCGTCAAAAACATATCTCGCTTTTTTATTTCATTCGTGCTTCTTTCATTACGTCATTACGTGACGTCAAATCATTTTCTCTGAGCCTCAAAAATGCTCTGTTTGCCATTAGACATTAGGTTTAGTTTTGTCATCGTTAAACTCTGGACTTCTCCTGCAGTTTTTAAGCCCATAAACCATCACCAGACTCGTTACACAGACAAACTGTGCTCACAGTGACTGCGCGGCTCTATTAGGCTCTATAAACAGAACATTCAAAGAGAATAAGACTTCATTTATTTAGTTTCTAAATGTTTATTCCCTTTGCTGACAGCACAGGTAGCTCCAGCGCCTAACTGGAAATGGAGATGAAGTATATAAAGGTTCACATATAAACATTATTTTAGGTTAGAAAATGTGAAACATTATCCCAAGACTAAAAGCATGTTTAAAAAGCATGTTTAAGATTTTAATATGTGTTTTTAAAGTTTTGAATGGACTGGCCCCACAGTACATCTCAGACCTCCTCCACATTTCCCTGCTCATGTGTGCTGAGGTCCGAGGGTCAGCTCCAGCTCGTGGGGCCTAAAATGAGACTTAAAACCAGGGGGGACAGGACCTTCTCTGTGACCGGCCCCAAACTCTGGAACACTCTGCCCCTCCATGTCCAAACAGCCCCCACAGCCGGAGAGTTAAGTCTCATCTTATTCTCTGGCTTTTAATAACATGTGAGTGGTGTGGTCCTCTTTTATTTATTTAACTTTATTTATTACCTCCGCCAAGGAGGTTATGTTTTTGCCGGCGTTTGTCTGTTTGTTTGTTTGTCTGTTAGCAACATAACTCAAAAAGTTATGGACCGATTTTGATGAAATTTTCAGGATTTGTTGGAAATGTGAAAAGGAAGAACTGATTTCATTTTGGGGGTGATCCGGAAGAAATCCTGGATTCTGGATCACTTTAAAATTTTAAGTTAACATTGTGGTAAATGGGGCCAAAAATTTTGTTTCTCAATATCTGGGTTAATTATTGACCAAACCCCATGAAATTTGACTCAGGGATGGACAATGGGATCCTCTTTCATATTCCAAAGGCTGATCCGGATCTGATCCAGAAGACTGATTTTATCGCAATTTATATAAAAAATGGGGGTAGTCCTTGGCGGAGGTCTGCGCTCTCTGACTGCTTTTCTAGTTTATTTATTGTTTTTATCTATTTGATTTTTTTAGTACTGCTTTTATGTATTGATTTTATTTATTATTTTTGTTCAATGATTTCATTATTACTATTTTATTTATTGATTCTATTAGTTTCCTTGATTCTATTAAGTTGGAACATAATTCAGCTGATTTTTCTTTTGTCTTGTTTATAAAATGTACAAATAAAGTTGGACTGGACTGGAAAAGAGAAGAAGGCGGCATGTTGGAATTTGGGCTGCACAATATATTGCAACTAAAATCCCATTTTAATAAGTGAATAGTCACATATTAAAATGTCTTCTGCAAAGAGCAAAGTCACTTCAACCACAAACATGATTCTTGTATTATTTGGATTACCACTCAACAGAATCCTACTTTTAAAACTTGTCTAAATGGAATCTCAGTCTTTTTAGAATGACGTTTCCTTTTTGAAATGTGTTTAGTTTCATGTGAGCCTGTCTGGGAGCGTGTTTGGTATGCTGATGGTATCTGCAGAACACTAGATGTTTGTTACATTCCATGATGTCATCCAGAAAGGCTCATCCACCTGCTTCAAGTCTCTGCAGCGTTTATATTGCGTCGTGTTTTGTGCCACTTTAAAACGTTCGTATTTACAAAGGTGTAGAATAGACACTGACCGTTACACCGTCAATTTAACTGGCATCTCTTCTACAGTCTGGCATTTAACGTCTCGCTGTTGCTTTGAATCAATCACAGATGTTTCTATTGCTAAAACAAAACTTGAAAAACATGCATTCTTCACAGATCTGGCCAAGATTTGAAAACTTATATCAGGTTCTTCATCTTGTTTTCAGATTTATTATCTACTCACTCGTCTGAATTCATTGTATAATCTTAAAACTTGTGCCAGATATTTCTTCCATGACTCAACTAGTCAGAAAATCTTAAATGTAGCCAATAAAGAAGCTACAATTCATTTACTATAGTTTCCCCTGCAACACTTGACTTGTTTTTAGATTCACAGATGTGTGTGTTACAGACAAACAGTCAGGCCGGAGCCGTGATTGTTTGTCTTTCTTTCATTCCAGCGTCCAACTCCCATCAGTTATCTCATCTTAACATCTCAGGAGTTTTACCTTTTTCTGTTTGCCTCAACTGCTCACATTTAACTCTGTTACTAAGGACTTGTTCATTAATAATATGTTCATCATTCAGTACAGATGTGTTCTCAATCAGATGCACAGCTCTTCTGTTCAGTGGTTTTGTAAGAGTATCCAGTTGTAGGGTTGTGTGGTAATACAGTATTATGGTATACTGCAGTATCAAAAAGTAGCAACAGTATCAGTTTCATTACCATCATTAAAAACATCGAAAGCACATAAGGACCTAATATAATATATAGTGCTGTCAAGCGATTAAAAAAATTGAGAGATTAATTAATTATGATCTATAATTAATTAATCTAATTAATCTTTTTTTTTATCTCACTTAAAAATTCCTGAGAAAATCCTTCAACTTGTGGCAAAAAAAAGCTCTTGTGCACTGATGCGGTTCAACTTCTACTAAAGGACACGACTCAGTGGAATATAGATGTTCTCTCTGTGACAGAGGATGTTGATGGTGAAGGTGAGTCTGTTCTGTGTTTGTGTCGTGATGTTTTCAGAGATCAGACGTGTGCAGGTTTATCGCAGATGCGGCGAGAAGGGGAATGAAAATTAGGGTACAATTCTTTGCGGGAGCGAGTGGAGCAGGACTGTACAGTGCGGGACTGTGTCCTAACAACACTTAAAAACAGATTTTAGAATAAGGCAACTCACACTCAGAAACAGTAAAGTTAGAGATTAAAAATGAGATTAACGCGATGAAAAAACATAACGGGCTAAATATGACTGTAATTAATTAATCGCAATTAATGCGATAATTTGACAATCCTAATAATATAATAATTTACTGATATCTAAATGTGTTTGCTCAGCACAAATGAATGTGTGGTTGTATTTTCACGATGATTTAAAACTAATAGTGTCTATAATGTTTCTTGGGGAGATGACGTTCAATTAGTTTCGTTCCTTTGTCACGTGACACTCATCAGGGAGACCAAGACAAGACGGCAAGTCCGGCTGTAAGAGAGTTGGTCCCCCCCAAAAATACTACAGTAGTACTTCTGAAATTTGGCAGCATTTTGGCCTCAGGCCACATTTCTTTACATTTACAGAAACAAAACTTAAAAGTAATAATTTGCATGAACTGTTAGCGCTGATAAAAACGGCTCGCTTCTTGTGCTGCTGATGTGGTTCAGCTTTTGTCGGACAAAAGGACTTGGCTCAGTGGAATATAAGTTTTTTCAGGGGAATATATGTTTTTTTTCTGTGACAGAGGATGTTGCGGGTGATGGTGAGTCTGTTCTGTGCGTGTGTCAAGTTGGAAACAGTTTGTGTTTAACTTTTCAGAGATTATAAGTCTGCAGGTCATACACACACCGTACAGCGGCGTGGCTTCGTAGTTTACTAAAGTCGTACTAAAACATTTTGGTGATACGATAATCCCATATACCCCGGTAAATCCTGAGACGGTTTCACGGTATCAGAATTTGGATACCGCCCAACCCTAATCCAGTTGAATAGCTTTTCATTGTTAAAGGATACGCAGTTTTGCATTTTAAGATTCCCAAATGCTGAATATTCCAACATTCTAGACTGAAAACTGTGCGAGTTACTATAAATGAATATATTTTAGCCAGTTGTGTTACTAAAACATCAGTGTGCTCCCTTTGATTATACAGTAGATTAAAATTCCTGATGGAGCAGAATGTTTATTAAAAGAAAAGCCAAAAATCTAAGAGACAAATCAACTGCATTCAAATGTCAAAAACAAGACACAGATTTACTTGATACTTGAGTATGTTTATCTAAAACTTCCATAAACTTATTTCCAGCCCGTAAACACTTCCCACAGATGCTTCATTCTAGTCTAGAGGTCGTTTATTTTAAGAGAACTTCACAAGTAAAATGATCTTGCTGCATGGACACATCATTTCAACACTTTTAAGTTTCATTTTCTGATAGATTTAAGTGTTTAGATCTTAAATTTTGGCCAGGATATTTAGCTTTTAACTTGGCTCCATGTATTGTTTTAGCTCCCTTCTTGGTGCACAAGCAGAGAGCAAGTTCTTGTTTGGGAACATTTAGTTTTCCATGTTATTATTATTATTATTTTTAATTCAAATTTGTATTGACAGGCCAGTAGAGATGACAGTTTTAAATCACAAATGGAAAATTTTTTTCCCCTCCTTTGTCCTTCTTTCACTTCACATATTTCTATAAGTGCAGTTGTATTGAAATTTTTTTTTTTTTTTTCTTATTCCGTTGAGAATACAAAGTTTAAAAAAAAATTAAATACAAAAAACAAGAAAAAACTAATATTTGAAGTGTGTTTGTGTGTTTTACTTTTTTGTCTTTGTTTATTTATCTTATTTTGCATTTATTTAATTTTTTTATGTTATGCTTTATTTTATCTTATGTGTATATTTATATTTATTTTTGTTATTATTTGGCCATTTCATTTACACGTTTCTGTTATGTAAGTCATATAGAATGTGAATTAAAATTTCATTTATTTAATGTATGCGTATGTGTATATTACTATACACATTATTATGATTACAATGTTTTATTATTTTATTTTTCTTTTTTTTTATTGTTGTTGTTTGGGAGTGTTTGTTCTAAACTGAAAATGTGAATAAATAAAGTTATAAAAAATATATATATATAAAAAAA